TTACCTAAAAACATCCCTATTACTTGTTCATTTTCTTACAAGTCGGTAGCGTTTGACTCCGGTTATGGGATATTAACCATGGGCCTTTGATTTTTCCTTCATGAATCTATATTTGCAGAGTCAGGATGGATCTACAATGGCCTCTGAAGCAATAGAAGATCTCTCTTATACGTTAATCACTTAATAAAGTGGAAAATAACGGTTAAGTATAACCCGTTAATTTCAAATTAACGGAAATGGTCCACCCCTACCGGATTGCTTTGAAATAGTATTTATATGTTCCAATAGTAGCAGAAATTCTATCTTGCCACATATTTGTGTATTTACTTCCATTTATGTATTTTTGAAATATTCTAGTCATTCAAGTCCCCTCGACTGAAAGGAGGGTCATATGAAAAAAAAGTTTGTTTGTATGTCTGCCTGTCTGCCTCTCTGTCTGTCTGTCTGCCTGTCTGCCTGTCTGTCTACCTGTCTGTCTGACTGTCTGTCTGTCTGTCTGACTGTCTGTCTGTCTGTCTANGTCAAAAAAAACATCTTTTGTGAAAATGTTCAAAACTTCATAAAACATCGTTTGGGGGGGATTCTGAGGCTCGAGGTTGGCTGGAGGAGGGGTGAAGGGGCAGAGACCTGACAGAAATGAAGAAAACATTTCTACCGCGCCTGAGAGGATGGCTACATAGAAAAGTTGATTACGAAAAAGTAAAAACACACTCGCTTGACTGTCGCATACCAAAGGCCAGTAATCGAAAAATACATTCATTCACAAAGTACATACTGGAGAGCAATCTTAAATGGTGAGCTTCGATATATTGAGAGTTTTTGTAGGCCTTTAAGCCTTTTAATTAAGGAGATGGCCTCAAATGTTCGGACGCGGATGGAATGCTAATTAGTTTTCGATACTTTTTAGTAGCACACGGGTAATTATATGATAGACAGGGACAGCTTTGGAGCAGCGAGTTGTGAGTGGCGCCCCTGTGGAGCGCCGACGAACAATGTGCTGCGCCTGGTAATCTAGCCAGTTACAAAAGTATAAACAATCCAACACGTTCGAATGCGAAATCTAGACAGAGTCTCATTAAGTGTTACTGAAATTATCTTTCTTTTAGAAAAAGGAGGATGTATGTAAGGTGCAAGTCCAAAATAATCATTTGTAGCGAACTTCTGCTCCCTGTGAACAGTGATTTTCAGTCAGAAATATCGGATAATTAAAAGGAACACAAGTAGTCTTTTGGTTCTTTTGAAGACTGTCAGGCGAATGAAGATCAGTTTCTGGGGATCCCTTCAAAGGTTATACTTGTGTCTTTTTTGCGTAAAATGCATATAAGACTATTGTATTTTCAGTCAGTAGTTCAGCCGAAGGTATAGCGAGTCTGCCTCAACGAGCGTTACTAGTTGATAGTTTCGAAGAAATCCACAACTTCTACGGTATGTTTTTTCATAGTCATCTCCTTCTAGCTTAGGATTGATCAGGAAAGATATATAAATCTTACTCGATTTATTGTCCAAGACATATAAATATATGCAGGATGAATGAAGATATAGAGGATGGTAAAGAATTTGAAGTTGTAATTCAATACATAACTACTTACTATATATAAAATAAAATGTTTTCCTTTATGGTTACGGCTGGAAAAAATATGTCATACGCATGGTTTTTCGAAACTATCACTTTAAATAGTTCCATAGTTCTTAATGTAAGATATCTTAGACATGTATTCGACCTTTTCTTAAAAGGATTCGTACGCGAGCGTATTCCAGTCCCGATCACATTTGTTTCAAGGAAAACTCGATGAGCTCTATTAATTTCAATCATAAAATTTTCCACATCGATGCAAAGCTAGCACGAAGGAGCTAGCACAAACAATCAATTTGTTAGCTAAAACTTTTTTACTAAATAACTCCGGTCCTTAGAAATTATATCATTCGACTGTGACTTTAATTCTGTATCGAATGGTGATGTTTCTACTAACGTGACAAACTTTGGGAGAATGTTTACCTATATCTTTGTTTGCCTCCTAGAGGTCTATTTATAACCCAAATAAAGTTTCTCCAAAGTTTGCCTCGTGAGTAGAAACATCACCATTCGATGCAGAATTAAATTCTCAGTCGAATGATATAATTTCTAAGGACCGGGCTTATTTTGTAAAAACTTTTTAGCTAACAAATCGTTTGTTTGCGCTAGCCTTACATCGATATTTTCCACCCTCGCCCTCTGTTTCTAGTTAGCCGTGAACATCGACGAAAATATGTTGAATATTTCATTTATGTCATTCTCTGGTTTATACTCGAGTATAAACACAAAAACATATTTTTACCCTTGGCTGTGAATAACCCATTTATGGGCGTTGAACTTCTTCGCATATTATGTTAATTAAAATATAATCTAGACTATAGGAACGACCGCTGTTGGTCCTTCTTANTATGGTCTGATGATGATGTAGAGCATGAATTACCAGGTAGTTTTTAACTGAAATTCGTTCATATCTCTCCAATTTCACAACTGTATTTCTCAAGGTACTACCTGGTTTCGCGAAAGATTGTTATCATTATTAAAAGAAATGTTCGTCTTGGATATTCGACATGTGGCTGCAACACTTCTTCATCCACGCTATAGATCATTGAAGAGATTTCCCGACCACATAAAAGGTCAATGTTACCGGTATGTTCGCCGACAGATTAAACATTTACAAGACAGAATAAATTTGGAAGATTTCCACAGCAAATCATCAGAACCTGAAGCAAAGAGATTCAAAAAAAATTCAAATCTATTCAGTAGATTCGAGTCTGATGATGATGTTGAAGATGATCAAAAACAGTATCACAGCAGTTCAAGAAGCGATGAATACGATTTTGATATTAAAAAGATTGACGAATTGGATAGATACTTACTGATCGACATCGACAAGAATGCGCATACTGGTGATCCTTTAGTCTTTTGGAAAAGTTACAGAAATCAATTCCCGTTTCTTTCTCAATATGCTCGCTCTGTTTTGTCGATTCCTGCTATAACTACTAATGTTGAGAGAGAATTTTCCACAGCTGGATGGCTTATTAATCAAAGAAGAACAAGTTTAAAACCAACTGAGATTGACAAAATTCTTTTCATCAGATCGATGGAAAAACAATTGAAAAACAATTGAACACATCTTCTGTCAATATTTCATTAATTCAATCTTCATTTTTTGTATGCAACGATGTACTTTTGTTCATTATTTCAGCAAATAAATCTAGAACTAGAACTAAAGAATAAAATTCAACCGTATTGCATAACTTCTATATTTGTAGGATGGAGACAGTCCTCTTTTTCTCGAATTCTCTCTTGTAAGTATCGAAGTACTCGCTTGCCCTGCTTCGCCCTGTAGGGCAGGACAGGGCAAAGAATTCTGCCCTGTGGACACCTCTGATGCCTAGGTATATCCAATCTATGCAGTATGATAATATTTTATATCAGAATGATTGTGTTTACTTCACTATAACTCTATTATCAAAAAGAAAAAAGAGTGGTACATATATGTCCCACCGCCCTTTAAAGGGTTAAGTAGATGTATGCATAAATATGCTGTGATATTGTGCATGAGCTCATAAGGATATTTTTAAAGAAGCTTTATGCAGAGAAATACATTTGTACAAATTTTTGAAGGCATAACTCGATGCATCTTGATGTGCTCTTTCGTGTGGGAGTGCTCTCGAAGCTGTCTATAGTGCTGATCCACTCGGTATGGCCTAAATATCTACTCCATTGATCCAGTGATTCCGACGAGAGAAAACTTTGATATTCAGTATCATCATACATCATCAGATGCTTTTAATACCATCAAACGATAGCCCATTACCAATAGCATTTATGATAAAAAAAAATCACGGTTCGATCTACTATGGTTCGTAAGATATTGAAAAATTACTGAACCTCCTTGCGCAAGAGAAGTGATCAAAATGATTGTTACTTGTGGCACTTGTCATGCTTATATCTCCTGGATGGCTTATTCATTTGAGCTGAAACTTTGGATTTATTCCTAACATATCATGGCCTATCTACTGTAAAAACATCACCCAAATCGGAGATGGGCGTTGTGCGACGTTATGTGAAATTGGGCGATGTGCGACGTTATGTGAAATCGAGCGTGCCTTACGTGCAATATCTCGTATGCGTATAGAGGAATGAGGTAACTAAATGATCGAGCTCGGTCATGCGTGAGAAATAGAAAAAATGCAGAAATAAATAAATCGGTGTTATTACGAATCTGATCATATTGAAATTTCGACGATATGAGGTAAGTAAGAAGCTCTGATTAAGTTATATCTATAAAAAAGCGGTACATTACCTGTTTTTGCTGGCCTTTCCAGTTTTTAGTGTATACATATTTTTTTCCCTGAAAGGTATTCATTTACTGTAAGTTTTTTTTATCCACATACTTCTTCAGACCGTAGGACATAATAGTGCATAGTGGCGTTGCCTAATTGAACTTGGAAGGTAGATATACGTATAGGACTACGAGTAGGTTCAAACAGAGAAACAACGATACTCCATTATTCCACTCGTATTCTAAATCACTCGAGGGATACACTAGCTTACTGCACCCGTACTCCGATATACTTTAGCAATACTCCAATTGAATTGTGCTTTTCAGCAAGATATTGTTGGCGCATGGTCGGAGTGCCGCCGAATTATGAGCTTGAGTAGTCCACCTCAGCTGATTTTTACTTCTGACGTGCGCCACATCCGAGGGCGAGTGATCCGACGATCGGACCTTGTTGGATTCGATGGGAAACATTTGATTCAGCAGTGCTCTAGTGATACTTTACGATCGGGGTGGACCATTTAATTTAATTCTACTTAATTAACGGCTGTTAATTAACGGAACCCGTTAAACGTTAATTTCCACTTAATTAACGGCTGTTAATTAACGGAACCCGTTAAACGTTAATTTCCACTTAATTAACGGCTAAACGATCAAATAATCATAATCTGCGATCCTTTCTGACAAATAATTATCTATAGAACGCCGCATTAATTACATGTACCCTGGTAAGATAATCACCTCTCAGATTAATACCATCGTGGTAACCAGTATGGAAAAACTCTTTATTCCAAGGCCCATTCCATCGAATTCTGATTGTTCATTTTCTTACTAGTCGGTAGCGTTTGACTCCAGTTATGGGATATTAACCATGGGCCTTTGATTTTTTCCTTCATGAATCTATATTTGCAGAGTCAGAATGGATCTACAATGGCCTCTGAAGCAATAGAAGATCTCTCTTATACGTTAATCACTTAATAAAGTGGAAACTAACGGTTAAGTATAACCCGTTAATTTCAAAGTAACGGAAATCGTCCACCCCTACCGGATTGTTTTGAAATAGTATTTATATGTTCCAATAGTAGCAGAAATTCTATCTTGCCACATATTTGTGTATTTACTTCCATTTATGTATTATTGAAATATTCTAGCCATTCAAGCCCCCTCGACTGAAAGGAGGGTCATATGAAAAAAAAAGTTTGTTTGTCTCTCTGCCTGTCTGCCTGTCTGCCTGTCTGTCTGTCTGTCTGTCTGTCTGTCTGTCTACCTGTCTGTCTGTCTGTGTCAGGGTCAAAGGTAAAAGGTCAAAAAAACATTTTTTTTGAAAATGTTCAAAACTTCATAAAACATCGTTTGGGAGGGATTCTGAGGCTCGAGGTTGGCTGGAGGAGGGGTGAAGGGGCAGGGATGTGACAGAAATGAAGAAAACATTTCATCCGCGCCTCAGAGGAGGGCTACATAGAAGGGTTGATTACGAAAAAGTAAAAACACACTCGCTTGACTGTCGCATACCAAAAGGCCAGTAATCGAAAAATACATTCATTCACAAGTTACATACTGGAGAGCAATCTTAAATGGTGAGCTTCGATATATTGAGAGTTTTTGTAGGCCTTTAAGCCTTTTAATTAAGGAGATGACCTCAAATGTTCGGACGCGGATGGAATGCTAATTAATTTTCGATACATTTTAGTAGCAGACGGGTAATTATAGGATAGATAGGGACAGCTTTGGAGCGGCGAGTTGTGAGTGGCGCCCCTGTGGAGCGCCGACGAATAATGAGCTGCGCCTGGTGCTCTAGCCAGTTACAAAAGTATAAACAATCCGACACGTTCGAATGCGAAATCTAGACAGAGTCTCATTAAGTCTTACTGAAATTATCTTTCTTTTGGAAAAAGGAGGACGTATGTAACGTGCAAGTCCAAAATAATCATTTGTAGCGAACTTCTGCTCCCTGTGAACAGTGATTTTCAGTCAGAAATATCGGACAATTAAAAGGAACACAAGTAGTCTTTTGGTTCTTTTGAAGACTGTCAGGCGAATGAAGATCAGTTTCTGGGGACCCTTTCAAAGGTTATGCTTCTGTCTTTTTTTTTGCATAAAATGCACATAAGACTATTGTATTTTCAGTCAGTGGTTCAGTCGAGGGCATAGCGAGGCTGCCTCGACGAGCGTTACTAGTTATATAAATGTTACTCGATTTATTGCCCAAGACATAAATATATGCAGGATGAATCAAAATATAGAGGATGGTAAAGAATTCGAAGTTGTAATTGAATACATACTTACTATATATTAAGTAAAATATTTTTCTTTATGGTTACGGCTGGAAAAAATGTTTCATATGCACGATTTTTCGAAACTGTCACTTTCAATAGTTCCATAGTTCTTAATGTAAGATATCTTAGACATGTATTCGACCTTTTCTTAAACGGATTCGTACGCGAGCATATTCCAGCCCTGATCACATTTGTTTCAAGGAAAACTCGATGAGGTCTATTAATTCCAATCACAAAATTTTCCACATCGATGCAAAGCTAGCACGAAGGAACTAGCACAAACAAATAATTTTTTAGCTAAAACGTTTTTACTAAATAAGTCCGGCCCTTCGAAATTATATCATTCAACTGTGAATTTAACATGAGATGCCTAATTCGACTTATAATATAAGTGACCAATTCCTAGCACCCTTAGGAATAGAAATAGATTTAGTTTTACTTATGCATATATGTACCCATACCCCTGTGAGCTTAGGAATAGAAATAGATTTAGTTTTTGTTATGCATAGATAAACCCATACCCTCACTTATATCTATCTTGATTGAGGGTGCCGCGGTGGGTGTTGGCAATGGTATATATGCATAACTAAAACTAAATCTATTTCTATTCCTAAGGGTGCTAGGAATTGGTCACTTATATTATAAGTCGAATTAGGCAGCTACTCAAATTCACAGTTGAATGATATAATTTCTAAGGACTGACTTATTTAGTAAAAAATTTTTAGCTAACAAATCGTTTGTTTGTGCTAGTTTCACATCGATATTTCCCATCCTTGCACTCTGTTTCTAGTTAGCCATGAACATCGACGAGAATATGTTGAATATTTCATTTATGTCATTTTCTAGTTTATATTCGAGTATAAACAAAAACATATTTTTACCCTTGGCTGTGAATAACCCATTTATGGGCGTTGAACTTCTTCGCATATTATGTTAATTAAAATATAATCTAGACTATAGGAACGACCGCTGTTGGTCCTTCTTATCCTAATGTTAGTGCGGGATCAAAATATCTTGATATACTTTTGAATATTTTCCTATAATAAGGGAACTCCACACTCACAATTTTAGAGCGAGATGCACAATATGCACTTAGAAAACACCGTAACTAGAGGGTCAACACACTATATTAGAAATCTGAACGCTTATTTCTTCGACGGATCTAATAGAACTTGTTTCTACCGTTCTTGTTCATTTTAGATATAATGGCGTATCGAACTAACAATTCTTCGAACAACAACTCGACTGGAATATGGGGGTATGGATACAAGATCGTTGATTTCTTTTTAGCTCATATTTTCCTTTGTCCTGATTATTTTAGATCAGTAACAACATGGACCCCATGTTGGGCTACCTGTTTACTTTTGACAGGGCTATTTGTCATAGCTGGAGTAATCGTTTCATCACTCATACCAGTCTATTTACAGGCAAAAGTTCAGGATATTGCTGTAGCAAGTAATAATTATGGTAAGAAGGTTTATACCATCACTATTTCTATTTGCATGATATCTTTTATAAGGTGCACGATACATCACAACGGAATTCGGTTGCAATACAGTTTTCTATCAAAGTCAAGCAGTGATCAATTTGGAAGATATTGGAAAACAAGTAAGCTGACATATCTCTTTTTTATGTATGTCTTTTATATGACTACTATTGATGTCTCAAAATATAGATCACTGAAAGTCTTGGCTTCCCTCCAAATACATTTACTATTCAATCTGGATCGACAGAAATCGGAACTCTTAAAAACAGGAAGAAAAGACTAACAGCGTGAGTTGCCTAGTTTCTTTTCCTTCAGTAGTTTTCGTTATTAATGATATTATATTTAGTAGTGCACCTACGTGTGGAGCCAATAATAGATTGGTTCTTACAATAGTTGTGAATAATTGTCCGCATAGTACATGCAAGACCGAACATTGTTTTGATCAGTGTGCCTCGGAGATAAAAAGTTCAATTCAGTCGAAGTTGAGTACAACTTTATCTTCACTCGTCATCGTGACAACTGATAGAACAACTATGAATATTTTGGCAATATTTTGCTCATTCCAACAGCCTACACCAGGTAACAGATGCTTTTGAGAAAAATATTTAGCGATTAAAGAATGAAGAGACAGAGTCAGTGTACATAAAGTTATACTAAATAACGACATAAAAAGAATAATCCATTAGATAAGAAGAACGGAGGGTTAAATAGGATTTGTACAACGCATGAAAGCGAGAGTTATAAATCTGTTCGCGGCTCCTGCAGAATCAATCATCATTTTGGCTGTAGAAAAGTTAAGAATGGCCTAATACGGATGATACATTTACTTTACTTTCAGTTTAGCTGAATAAGGTAAAGTAAGTACAGATATTTACATCCAGGGATGAATATTTCGTTAAAATAAAGATATTTAATTTTTAAAGTTAAATAAATACTTTATTCTGACAGAGAATAGCACACTATGCTCTTATTTATCAAAGGACGTAAATACAGTGATTATTTATGTCCCTCAGCGACCGTTATATAGTATGTATTGTGCACGTTTGCTCTCTCGTATCACACTGATGTCTATATAATGGTGTTTACGTTCGTGAGAGAAATTAGTGTGAATAGTCAAGATAAGGATCGACCTTGAGAAGTTGGCTGTGAGCCGAACAAACTTAGACTACAACGCATATGTGGATCCGATTGTCCGATGGATTGGAAGCTCCATCGACCTCGTACAAGTTTTACAGAATTTCCAAAAGAGTATTCCAGTCTTTCCTTATTGAATTTTTATCAGATAGGAAATGAGCTGAGATATCATTCATCGCTGAAAGGTTATTAGCATTCTGAATAAAATTATTCTTTTTAAAAATTGAAATACTATATAGAAGACAAAACTGTAAAGAACTCTAATAGCAAAATGTTTAATCCCAATATTTATACATAGGAATATCAAGTTTGTCACCAGCATCTATCACGTCATCTACAACTTCTTTTCCTTCGACAATATCAACTTTATCGGTATCCAACACCGGTAAGTATTCGGTTATACTAAGTCTGTCACATTGACTTCCAGAGTACAG